GATCATTTATAGCGGACTTACAACGCAGGTCGCAAGTAAATGCTCACAGGTCGCCATCTTTCACCTGCCCACGCTGCCTGTTCACCTTCATGCAACCTGTGGTAGTAATGCTGTTTGACTCTGGGCTCTCCCCACCCCTCCATCAGACTTTGGGTTGTAGCTGCCCTCTAGTGTCTGAGACCGAGAACTTCACCCCCTGTCGGACAGCTATAGGTTCTGTGGGTTGGGGATTTACTGAAGATTAAAGTTAAAATTAACTTTTAGCTGTAGCTTTAAAAAGCGACGGCGCTTTTTTTTTTTTCACTTAAGAACGTGATTTTGTAGACTCTGCATTGACGCGTCAAACATAATTCCAGTCTAGACAGAGAAACTGACACTTATCGTTGTTACATATTGAGTTTCAACAGCTTTTCAGTTGTCATCTCAAAATGTACCCGTAGACTTAAGCATTTTAAGCTCTGCTGTGTAAGAAGCTAGACTCCTTCACTGCTCTTTTTTAAACCAGGGAGCTTTCCCTTTGCACCACACTTCATTCAGGCTCTGAATGAGGCATTCATTCTGCGAACAGGACGGGAAATTGAAGCTTTTTGTAAACCTTTTTTCATTCTAACACCTTGAAATGGAAGAAATGTAACACCTTGGATTTTATACCTGGAAATGTTAAAGAGTGAAACAAATTTTCTAGAGAAAAGCTAGGATTCTGCCTTGAATGCATTTTTGCAATATTTCTTTTGAGCCATTTGAGATTTTGATATCCACTTCTGTGCCGTTTTTGTGTCTTTTTTCATTCATAGCAGCACTGTGATGACACAGAAAACTTGCTGATGCTGCTTCAACATTTCCTGTGTCGCAGTCAGGAGAGCGTCAGGAAAGTGTTTCTGTCACCAGTGGGGAGCAGGACTCATGCTCACATTCCTCTCCACGTAGAGTGATTTATCTCTGTTTGGGCTTTGTTTTGCCACTCTCTCATTGTGAGTATCAAATCCAGACTGTCCCCTGTGACTCTCTTCCTGAATTGTGGCGGCCTGTGTTTAGAGAAAACTCCCCACGGCTGAGCTCTGCAGCCCGCTTTATTTGTGACACGCCAACCCCGGAGCTCACTCAGCAGTCTGAAACTCCTCACTTTTTCTCTTTTTGCTGTGTGTTTGCTATCAAAGCGTGGCTTATTTCTCACAGCTTTGTGAGCTAATGAGGAAAAAGTCTTTGTTTTGTCTTTGCCGGGAAGCCGCAACCGAGCGCGAGATGTGGTTTCGCTGTGTGTTAATCTGCCGGGTAACCGTCGTGTTTTGAGTGTGAAAGGGATTAAAACATATCAGCAAACTAATCCAGCTGCTACACCGGCAGCCCGCTTCACCTGATCCTGCATTACCTCGCTCCCCACCCCTCTCACTTTCCACGGATGTGTTTGTTGACAGAGCGGCGGGAGCCGGGCCGGAGGCACGAGGCCCCAGATTAGCCGCACATGTCGGCTTTGATTTCCTGACTTTTTAGAGCTTTTGTGTTGGCAGGCCATGTTAAAAAAATATCAAATATAAGGTCTGCTTGCTTTCAAGGTGTCAGATAAAGAGGGTATGCTCTCGTGGAGCAGACTGAGCCCGCATGCAGCTGTAGGCCTGCTGTGGCAGGTTTCAGCGTGGGCCAGCGGCGGGGGTCGTGCTTTTGTCCCCCCCCTTCACCTGTGACTGCGTGTCCTGCATGTAAACCGTAACTCAATGCCTTTTTGTCCGCGACTCCCCTTTGCTTCTTCACGCTCATCCTCCTCTCCTGTAAATGCCTCCGCGGTTCACGAGGGAGGGGGAAAAGAAAAAAGGGAGCTTGTCAGACTGAGAGCTTTTGTTTCCAGATCGAGCTCTGCTCCTTCCTTGCCAAAACTAACTGTTATTGTGAAAAACCCGCTTTGAAATCTCCCCCGTCGGTGGAATAGAAAAACGGGTGTATTTTTCAAATATCAAACCTTTTTTCTGGCGTTCAGCCGGAGCCCCACTACGATCCTGTGGCTGGCATCCGTTTCTGATTTCCTCTACATCTGTCAACCCCCTGAACAAGAGGCAGACCCCCTCCCCCCCCCCCCACAGCCGCTCACCAGTCAGGGACGGGGATTCGGCAGGGCCTGGTGGTGAGGCAAACCCAGCCAGAGCTCGGCTCTGGACCGCATGGAGAAGAGAAGTCCCCCCCCACAGCCGCGGACTCCTGACTTAAAGGGGGACCATAATTACACAGGCGTGTGTATTTATACTCAGCTGTGACTCAGTTGGACATGTGGCAGGAGTCTGTGTGGATGTGCACTCACGGCAGAAGCAGCCTTTGTGTTTGTGTGTGTTCGAGTGAAAGCGGACTCCAGCTCATGTAAACTGGGGGGGGGCAACCTCTTTTCATGCGAGACTGAAAGAACATTCAAAGACGGTCCTTCTTTTAAAGGTGAAGATTGCATTAACTAGCAGAAGAAGAAAAAAACATGCTTACACTTCAGACTTTGTCCAGTAAAATTAGTTTTATTTAATCTTCATTTTGATTGATTGATTTATTTTGTTGGGTTTTTACAGGCTTTTCTATCACAATAAACTTTGAATTAATATCCAAGACTCTGACAACAACGTTGTTATAGTGTTCCTTGTTCTTGGTAGCACATTGTAGTACCAAATACGGCAAATCAAAGCAACAATCACCGAGTATTTGATCCCGCCCAGTCTGAGTTGCTTTAATTGGAACATTAGGGGTGTCTGTAACACCAATTAATTCTGGTTCAGACAGTGGTTAATTAACACGATTCCATTCAAGTAAACCTACTGTTTACCTAGCAAGCAGTGCTTTACTTTCCAAAGTACAGCTGATATTTTTAAAGGCTTCTTGTCAGAAATCCTGGCTACAAACTATCTGCTGCGTGCGCTGTTTTTGGATGTCTCCTGAAAAGTTTTTTATGTGTTCTCAGAGGCTCAAGCTGGGTTGCTTTTTCAAATCTTCGCTTGTTGGAAGTACTTGGGTCTAAACGTCTGAAACAATCTATATGCTGCCCGTTAAAACCAGCGTTGGGACCTAATATCACAATTTGAATTGTGAAATTTCATATTTTTTTACAAAAACATGTATCATTCTTCCTGATAAGGGGCTAAGTTGTGTCACTCCTACAGGCAGACCGCTCTGCTTCCACAGGACAAACAAAGAGCTCTTTTATTTGCACCATCTCTTGCCAGTTATGGAAGTGCAATATTGAAGGGCTGCAGGGCATCGCTGCCATCATATCTGACTTGTAATGCCTGTCCTATTTCATTTATATGTCTCTTCAAATACCCAGCAGCCGCAAACAGCCTCTCATCTTTATCGTTGGTTTTGTGGTTCCGGATTATCACTTTAATTCATCGCTTTGCACCGACTGCTGAAAGCCAGGTGTGTGTGTGTGTTTTCTGGCCGGCGAGTTGCAGCGTATCCAGAGGGTACGGTCTTTGTCCCTGTTCGAGTTGCGACTTGCCCCCGCCGTGCGGCAGGTGAAACCTGTCTAACCTCACCGGCTAATGGATGCGCTTCGGTTTAACGGCGAGGACGGCTGGAAGGGAGAGTGGTCTGCAGCAGCATGGTCACCTGCCTGCCGGGCTCCCACGTGTCCTGGACCTCTGCCTGTTTGGTGAGAGCTCAACTGTGTGTGGGTGGGGGCGGGGAGGGGGGGGGGTCACCTTTCTGACTGATTTGGCGGCGTGTTGTTTAGGAGTGTCACTGTGTCGTACGACTGAATGGAATCAGTGGGAGTTTAGCTTTGATCGGGCAGTAGTTTTGACAGTTTGTTTTACCTCAGAAGAACAGAGAAGCCACTCGGCCGGCTCAAGCTTTTTCCATGTTCTCCTTACATCTCTCTCCCCCCCCCTCTGCATTTTCCTCTCTTCACTAAAAGAAGAAAAGGGAGTAAAGCACTGAATGTGGCGGTAAATGTTTTCTTTGTGTTGGAAATTGGCCTCTTTCTCTTTTTTTGCCCGTCTCCCCTGTGAGTGGAGGGGAAGCGGTGGAGGCTGGGCCGGCTTTTTTTGGGAAGTTTAGCGCCAGGATCACAGCTTTGTCCCCGTGTTTGTGCGGACTCACACACACATGCTGCACACACATGTGCGGGCACCCAGGGCTCCTCATGCTGCCGCCGGGCACTCATCTGTAGAGGATTTCACCTAACCAGCGGGATATATCTTCATCTATAGACTTCATCCTCCATGTCCAACCCCAGTGATGTCTCTTTGGATTAGGACGAAGCTCCGCTTGTTTTCCTACAGATGACAGTCAGACCGGTTCATGCTGGAAGGATTGAGGGGATTGTTTGGATATAGACTGAGAAGGAAAAACAAAAGAAGCGGAAAGAGAAAGCAAAAGAGATGAAGGAAGACTATTTAAGGGGTGGAAAAGCTGATGTTTGTTTTGCTGGAGACAAAAGAATTTGAGACTAAAATGAGTGAGATTTATTTGGCGTTAAAGATCTAGAGGGAGGGAGAAAGAAGAGAAAAAGAAGAGAGAGGGCAGTGGGAGGGAGCAGAGACAGGGAATCCAGCCCTCTGGGACAGTGGTGTGTGTTTTGGGGGTGGACAGAGAGGCTTTGTATGCAGATCATCACCGGACACCGGCTGGAGGGACGCTGTCAGTTGTTCTCTGTGTGTCTGTAGTAGGAACTAGACCTACCTCTGATCCCTGTCCCACACACACACACTCCTCCAGCTGCTGTCCAGGAGTCTGCCCCTCCGCCTCCTCTGGACCGCTCTCCCGCTGATAACATGTGGGAAGCCGGCCCCTCTGATCCTCGGGCCGTCAGGAGTGACGGGCAGTGATGTGGAAAATGCGGGATTAAACTTTTCCAGGATGACAGCGGTGGATCGGAGCCGGGAGAGAAGCGGCGCGGACTCTTGAGGATCCCGAGGAAAAGTTTGGGGGGTTGATTCTTGTGTGTGTTTCTGCGTGTTGAAACTTCGGTGCGTGCAGCCCCACGCCGGTGGGGAGGGATGTGGATCTGACCAAAGCCCCCGTGCCCCCCAATGCCCGCCGCTATGCTGCCCGGTCCTGCTCCGGCCGGGTCAGACTGGAGCTTCCAGAACCCGGTGGGGGTGGACTGCAGCTCCCCTGAGCCGCGCTGCATCTGGCTGGCGGTTCTCCGTGGAACCGCCGGCCCACTGCCACCCTCGGCGCCGCCGGTCACGCCTGCTGGGAGCAGCCAAAGCTCCCACCGTCTCAGGGTAAGGGGGGGGGGTCAGCCATCAGCTGTCTGATGTGTAGGGCTGAACCATCAGCAGATGCCCCAGATAAAAGTTACACTCATTGTATTTTCAATTAAATGTTTCAGTCTCAAACAGGAAAAAAAAAACTCAAAGGAAAAGATTAGGAAAGATGCAACTTTTACAGGCTTACTTTACTGTTTGGAGTTCAAAGTTTCACGTTCAAAATAGTGTCTTAACATAAGGTTAGTTGGTTGTTTAGTGTTGAGGGGGGTGTTTTTTAGGGGATTTGGTTCGCTCACAGTGATAGCAGCAGAACTGTCCTGGTCAACCGCTGTGTGGAATTAGCCAGTAAGGCATGTGGGCTATGTTTCTGTAACCGTGCGCATGGTTTGAAGCCAGTTAAACAGCTCAGCTGCTGACAGATTTGATACCTTTCTGTCTCTTCCTGGCAGATGTGTGTTGCTCTCAGGCTCTGGCGCTTTGTCCTGCTTTTTTGTTGTTGTCATTTAGTAATATGTTCATATGAGCCTTCATTTCTCATTAAAGCTATAATAAACCTGTAAAGATCTGTGCCACCGCTCGCATACTGATTCAGGTTTGTCTGAAGCTGGATCATTTAGTGTACAGTGGATTTTCTTTGATTTTATTCCCTCATGGGCAGATTTCCTGACATTCCCCAATTTGAATATCTGTAAACAATGGTAAACAGTCATTTAAAAATGAAACATTTTATTTAAGAGCATAATATTCCTATTTATGGATCCCATCTTAGAGATACTGAGCAACTGCTAACAGTGTAGAGTGAATATGAGAAAAATGTGGTAAGAGTTGAATTAATATGATTTATATGGGGCAAATAAACAAGTCTTGGCTCTTGCTATTTTGCTGACCTTCACTTTTTTTTTTGTTTCTGCTTAATTATAATGAGAAAATGTGCATGCCTTAGCTTTTTTTGGCGGAAAGAAAAAAAGAGTGCCTTTGAAGAGAGTGCCTCTCGTACACTATCAATTATCCACTTTTTCAGGTGTCATCCTTTTGTAAATGTGGGCCAAATTCAATTTGGCGTGATTCAGTGTGTGTTACTTGACGATCTGTGCTCCTTTGTGCGGCTTAATTTGTGACTTCTATCCACTTAACGTGTGTGTGCGACTGTGAACGTGCAGCATGTTGACTCTTTTCTTCTTCTCAGAGGTTTCTAATCAGTGGCTAAACAGAGATGAAGGAGGCTGTTAAGTGCCACTTTTAGCGAGGTGCTGTCGAAGCAGCAAGCTGTGGGAGCTGTGCAAATTTTGTTACTGCCCCCCCCAAAAATATGCCCTCAGAATTGAGGGCATTTGCTTCCACTTATGATCTCATTTTCACGTGGGCATTTTTGCATGATATAACTTCCTTTCCCCCCCAGAATTCACCATCCCCCTACCTTAGTCATTGACACAGTTAAGAAATGCCACAATGAGGAATGTGAGGGTGGGGGAGGAGAAGAGGCTGTACACACAGCTGCGACAAACACACTGTACTCTGTTTACTCTGCTGGAGAAAAGTGTCTGTAATAATTTAGCTGGAAGCGAGGAGGAAAAGCCGTTCCTCTTAATTGTCAGCGTCTGGTGCTGTTTCTGTTGAACTGTTCTGTTGATACGATCATACTGTACGTGTTGGATATCCTGATTCTGTTTGCACGTTCAGGCATCCTCACCACTTGATTTAGGGTCAGATGAGAATTTAGTTGTAGAAACGTATCCTCATTTGCCTAAAAGAGCCGTTTAAATTGTATCCCACTGAAAGAAAATGTGAGAAAATGGAGTAGTTATTTATATTTAAAGGTTTTAAAAAGATTCTCTCTTCAAATCAGTTTTCATATGGAAATGCAGCGACATCAAGCTTTTGTGGTACATTCTGAAAGCTAAATCTGGTGACAATGAGGGTAAAAAGTCCCCATCCCGATTTAAAACCACGTCATACTCTAACTGCCTGTCTGAGCCCACTGTGCCACCCAGTCATGCTGTAAAAGTTATTCTGAAACTGCTGCTCCTCCTGGAAACAATTGTGGGTCCGGGACCGAATCAAAATAACCCTAATGACCACCAGCACTGGCGGTGAGGCAGGTTTCAGTTGGTCCCACAGGAAAGTACAATGTGTTTTGCCGTTTAACTGACATTACATCATCACCTGCTGGCCTGGTTGAACTGACAATGGGGTTAGACTGGTTTTTGAACACACACTCACGTCAGATAACATGGAACCACAAACGCACACAGGTCTACATGTGTAACGCAAACATATCATGAGCGCTTGTTGACTTTTATTTGAAATCATCAGCTATATATATATATTTTTTTTTAAAGGTAGCTTTTGTCAGCCGGTTGTAGGGTGTGTTTGAATGTCCGGGGGAGGTGGAGAGGTCCATCTGTGTGGCCGGTGAGTCCAGAGATTACCAGGATGAGATGGTTAGGCTTTTCCGCGTCCCTCTCCGGCTCCCTCTTGGTAGGGCGCAGACAGCCGTGGCTGTCAGGATTAAAGGCTCGTCAGCATTTGCAGCAGCTGTAAAGCTCCACTTTTCAAACAGGTTGCAGCTCTCAGCTGTTTAAAAGGGGCATTATTGTTCTCTCCTGCTGGGGTTTTAGCAGGAGCCCGACTCCCCGAGGGCCGTCGCATTCCTCTGCGCTGCTCTACATCTGGATGGAGTTTGGAGAAGAGCGTGTGCTCACCAACATGCACGTGGCTACAGATGATTGTGTAAAAAAAACCTTACGATATTGACGTATACTAGAAAGGCTTTTATAGCTAATGAAGCTGTACTTTTAGGTCCTGCAATTGACGCCTCAGCATCAAGTTTGAGTCGTGTCAGACACACGGCGCATGCTGTGTTCTCTTTCTCGTCACTTCAGTCATGCGTTATAATTATATGCCCCTTAATTGAAATCAGGGGTAGAAATAACCACAGGGAAAAGCTTGCTTCTGTTGCTGCTGTCTGTGTGTGTGTGTATGTGTGTGTGTGTTTCACAAACACCCAGTCAGAGCAGGAAGCTGCGGTGAGGCATTACAAGCTGCTCTGCATATTCAGGTTTTTTTTTTTGATGACATGAACATCAGGTGTCAAATGAAGACCTCAACGGGTGTCTGAAAATGGAGGGATGGCCTCTCCGTGTTTAAATCGAAAAGAGTGTGAAGGAGTTGAAACTTCCTCTAGTATCTTATTTTCTCAGCAAAAAAATAAGGTTTCCCTCCTTTCTGTTAGCTGGAAAACCACAGAAAAAAGTTTCCAAACGCTTAATTCCATGTTCTGGAGTGGTCAGAGGAGCATGCCATCGAGTTGGAGCGTTTTGTCTTTTTTTTTTTTCTTTCAGTTTTTGGGTTAGGGTTAGTCTGAAATGTGAGAGGTTACGTGTGAGGTGTTGATCTGGTGATCTGGTTAAAGGTCAGCTGTAGAAGCAGCAGAATCACTGGACAGATCCACGCTCCAGCCCACCCGCTCCACAGAACTGAGTGGGATTCACTCAGTTCTGGATTCAGACCCGCTCGGACCCTGTGTGTTTTGGGTAATCACAGGGTTTGGTATTCCCAGCACCGGGAGGGGCCATGTGGTCGAAACCGGCATGCTGGAGCCTGTCCCTGGCTGGGGCCCGATACTCCTCCTCATCCTTCTCCTCTCATTCACTCTCTCTGTTCTCCCTCCCCTCTTGTGCCAGTGTGTGTTTCGACTTGTCCAAACCGAACCGCTCCCACTGAGGAATTCACTCCAGTCTCTTCCTCCTTTCACCCATTTGCTCTTTCATTTCCTCTTTTTTTCTGTTAGTCTTTTCTTTATCATTTTAATTCAACACGCTGAACACTCCCTCCTCACGCACCTCTTTATGCTGCCCTCATGCCACATAATGAGCCTGGCTACATGCCTCTGAGAAAAAATAGCAGGGGTTACTTTACATTGTTTAGACTGTCAGACTTAAGATCGGGCTTTTAGTATCGCGTAGATTTATGGATGTCAGTGTGGAAAATATACACTCCAAGACTTTAGCGTTCTCCGGCATGCATATGAAAACTCAAATAAACCTATTTTAGGCCAAAGTCTTCTTCTTAGGATGATTGGAGTGGAGGAAAAAGAAAAAACGTGCGGCGAAAAGTCGGCAAAGCTGGATTTCCATTTCATGGACACAGGAGGTGGAAGGGAGGAGAGAGGAACGAAGGATAGCGGAAGGAAGGAGAAAGAGGAGTTAGGGAGTGGGAAGTGCCTCCACCATGAATATAGTATTTATAGGAATGGCTGGTTGCACCCCCCCACACACACACACACACCACTGTGTTACCCCACTTCCTGCATCCAGGCTGCCGCTTCCTCTTGTTGTGTGGCCTCGGACAGACCTGAGGGGTCAGACGTTTGTGGGTCCCTTTGTGTGTAGGCATATGGTTTTGATGTCTACCAGTGCGTGTTTGTATGTTGAAGGGTGACAGGAGGTGAAATGTCGGGGTTTTGGAGGGATTGGATGTCTAGACATAGTCACCTCTGTCCTTCTAGGATGGCACATATTCTCACACTGAAAACAAAATCGTAAAACAAAACATTAGTTCCCAGATCGTGTGGTGCGGTTCCTGAATCATCATACCTCGTGCCCTTGCTGACTGCTGTGCACCCTGGAGGCAGTTACTTTTTATTTGGCTGCAGATAGCAAAACCCTTCACAGCGGCATGCCCAACAAAACCACTCCTAGAATGAGGTAATCGCAGATATCTGTGGACTAAGCTAGTCTTTGTTTGCTTATTGGTTGCTTGAAGGAATTACAATCCTGAAGGTACAAGTTATACCTTCTTGACATGGCAGCTTTCCTTTTCCCAAAGAGTGGATTGGGTTCATTCCATGATATGCAGCTGTCGTTTTTTTTTCTGCACGCTGATGGGAATTTGGACGTATCATATAAGACCTGTCCTTCAGTCGCCATTCTCCATTAGCCCTAAAATTACTTTGTCTGAAGAGGTTTATGTGAGTTGCAGGAATTGCATGCAATATTTTTTAGTTGAACCAATATTAATATTTGAGGCAGTTTTGCATTTAAGGTCACCAAACTTTATACTTTTTGTTTCCAGTGTAATGAAAATGTATTTTCATTCAGCTGGTATAGTCTGAAAAAAAGGAATAAAAAAAGCTTTGCTTGATAAAGAGAGAAGGTGTAATTGTAAAAACTGTTCAGGGAATAAATAAAGATGATGCTTCCAGATGTGAGAAAATCTGTTCCAAGAGTTTCATTAGTTGTTTGTTAAATGTCACCTTTCATAGCAAACGTTGCTTTCAGGATCAAAGGTTCCAGATATTTGGATTTATACACGGCATCTCTTACTTAATCTGAGGGCTGACTGGAACCTTTTTATACAATTTTGTTGTGCTCTTTTCTGGTTCAGGAATAGGTACCAAATACAGCTTGTCTCAAAGAGCTGAACTAATAACTATACAAGGGCACGCCACCGGTCTTCCATAGAATTTGATGAATTCAGCTTTGCCGGTGGACTCAGTAGAGGCCGGCGCATCAGCAGGAACATGGAAAAGATTGGAGGCCAGCGTGCAGCAGAGCAGACTCGACCTCTGACCGCTGACATGCCCGTTCCTTCCTCCCGCTGCTGCCTGTTTGGTCAGGTGATGGCGTTTGACTGACAGATGTGGGTCGGGGAGGCAGCACGAAGGTGGTAGTTCTCACGTGTGTCTGTCAGCTGAGCCGGCGGGGCGTATTGACTCGGCAGCAGGAACGAGTTATTTAGAGAGTGGGTGGAATTCTGCCTCTGAGCTCAGAGAGGAGTTTGGCCCTTCTCCCCCTGTCATCAGACCACGGTCAGTGCGGTCTAAAACGGGTAAAGCGCCACATTCCCTCCTCAGCCCTGTCTAGACACGAGCCCTTCCTGATAGCAGACCCCCGCAAATGCGTTTATGGACCATTGTTCTGAGGCTGGACTGCATGTGGGCCTGACCTGACCCAGCTGCATTCAGGGGCTCACGAGGAAGCCGCTAATGTAAAATCCAGCAGTTGAGGGTTAATGTCACTGAGTACAGAGTCACCTTGTGCCTCTCTGGGAAATCAAACCATAGAAAACCGGAATGCTTTCCAGCGTTGGTGCTAATAATAGCATGAACTGATACTAGAGGATGTATTTCTACAGTTTCCTTGGGTTGGACAAGGATTTTGCAAATGGGATGATCTTGATCTTATGAAGTAACTCACATTTTTGTTGAACTAAACACATGAAATCTGTATTTTCCTCAAGATGTCTATGTCCCTGGGGATGCTGTGTGTGCTGAATCTTTCTTTCTGTGTGTTTACAGGCTAAAGGGCGGAGGGATGGTGTCTCCAGTGTCTCCTCACCTGGTGACAACCCTCGACCACCGATGGCGACCCGGCCAGGGAGGGAGGGGGCCGGCATGGGCTGGAAGGGTCCCCGGACGCTGGTCCTCCAGAAGAACTCCCAGGGTTTCGGGTTCACACTCCGCCACTTCATCGTTTACCCTCCAGAATCTGCCCTGCACTCCAACATCAAGGTGAGCCCCGAAGACCTCTGCGTTCGTAGGTCTTCACTTACAAACTGCTTTTGGTGAAAAGGAGTTTCAAATTCCACGCTTGTTTTATTTTTAATGGTCTCAGTGAAACGGTTCTCTGAGGCTTTGACTTGCAGAACTCAGGTCAGTGCCAGTCTGAGGTCGGAGATAGAGCCAATCGCGCTGCAGCGAGGGGTCAGCAGGGCTGAGCCGGGTAAAATGAACACAGACAAAGTGGGAAAACAAGCTTAGCTGAGAGAGCACAGAGCGAACAAACCGAGGCAGTAAAAGCTGCGGTTGTAGGGGAGAGAGGAGCACCTCCATAACCTGACAGATGTGACAGAAACATGCTCGTTTTCCTGGTGTTTTATGGAATAAGCCTCTGTCTGAGAAAGTAGTTATTTGGCTCTTTGAGGTGTGGGGGCAAATGTCTCCAGATGTGAAATTGAGGGATATTGAGGCATGGGTGGGGTGACCCAGCTGAAACAAGACTCCCATTATTTATTCTACCACCATCTGGCAGCTGCAGATGTAGTTGTGCGGATTGAATGAGTTCTGTTGTCTTGGCCTGGTACCACTCTCTGGCAGCCGGGCTGTGCCAGGCCACCTCTGAACAATAGGCCCACTGCTGGCCTTTGGCCCCGGTCCTGTCCTTGTGTCCTCTGCCTCAGTGGAGATGAGGGTCACATGGTGTTTTTGGGCTGTCGACCTGACAGAGCCCTCGTTCTTATCTGGAGGGCCCAAATCACCCGCATAGATCCCAGTCCCCGAAGCCTTCCCGAATGACTCAGTTAGGCTGATTTCATATTGTCCGCAGGTCGTGAGGTCAAGCCATAAAGATATTTAGAGAATATAAAGATATAAAGAGATATAAAGATATTATTTTAATTAAAAATATAAACCCCCTCTTAAAACGGCAAAAAATATACCAACTCTTACTAGAAAAATAGGAAGGGAAAACTGTCTGTGTGGACGTGTTTACTATCATACTACTTTTAATATCATACCACAGCATATATTAGCATTCCATCTAACTTTTATAGTACTTGGGGCGCTGATTATACAGGTGTCAAACTGAGGCACTGAGAAGAAATAAGTCCACTCCGTCCACTCCGTGGACTCCCTATCCGCTGTCACTGTCTTCTTAGTTCCGGATGTGGTGAAATTTGGACTGGCCGGTCAATGTGTGTCCCCAGCTCCAAGTTCTATTCTGGGGTGGGCAGCTATCCTTTCTCTGTCTCTAAACCCACCGCCATTGTCTGCCCAGCCTGGAATGAGCCCACTCAGCGCAGCCTAAAGCCCGGCAGCGGTCAGACCACCGAGTCCCCGACTCCAAATTGCACACTCAGCTCAGTACATGTGTGTACGTAGGTGATCCGACAAGCTGCCGCTATCAAATCTTACCTTTGTGTTGTTCGTGGCGGTGGATGATGTCATCTGTACCTGCAGACTGCCTAACCTGAACGTAGGTTTCTGTGTCAGGGCTGCAGTCAGCAGAAACGGTTACTGTAAACAAACAGGTTGAGATAGAACCGATATCAGGAAGCTCACAGGAAAATATTCCTAAAATGCTTAAGATGCAGTTATCCTCCCCCACATTTTATAAATGTGGATTGTGTTGTCATGCGGTTCACTGGTGAATCGACACCAGGTAGGGACCTCCATGATTCAGACCCTTTTGTGTAGCATTTCTCTCTGTGAGCATAGATAGACTGTTCCGGCCTTTTTTTTTGTCCACGTATCAAACCCAGAACCGGCAAAATAATTTCTAGACTGAAGCTCTTTTTGCTCCGAAAAAGAAAAAGCATCTTTTTTGTTCTGATTTTCCTTATTTGCCTTAAATTGACTTGATTTTGTGTTCTGTCTCTTTGTGTCCACCACAGGATGAGGAGAACGGTAACGGAAAGGGTAAGTCATCTCCACATTTCCCCTTTTGCTGCTGTCAGGGCACCAGATGAGGCTACTATACTTGGATAAAGATGATGCAATGAGCCAGGACCTCACGTAGACCCTTGTCACTGCCGCTGTGCAGTTTTTCTGCCCCACCTACAGGACACTATGCAGCACTGCATGTAGAGTAGTCATGTGCGCCTTCACGGGGATTAACATGAGCCTCGGATGATCCACTCATAAGTGGACAATCCCAGGCACTAAAGTGAATGTACCCTGAGATTTGGGTTGTGCATTTTTTCTTTAATGGTAAAAGAAAAACTCATTTTGAAAGGAAGAATACATCTACTATAGGGGCATCAAGGATTTCTCTGTATCCAGAGGAAACGCGCATAGGCTCTTAGCATGGACCTTTTGAGGGAGGATAATTGTGTTTCAGGGCTTTACAGAATTATCCAGCACTGCATATGAGTCATCTAATGCATTTTTAGTTCTTTAACAATTCACAATCAGGTTGAATTTTCTACAGCGAGATGGGTCATGTTCCAGAATGCAAAACGCATAAATCTGTATGATGATAGGTCACCGAATGTAAATCGAAATGCAGAAACATGAGCTGAACTACATGTTGTGTAGGAGGTAGACAAACTTGCAATCAGATCACACTACTTTAGCTTCGTTTTGCAGAGTTGACTCCAGGGACTCAGTTAAGTATTTGTTGTCAGCATCAAGAAGTCTTTGCATTTCACTTTTTGTCTTGCAGGGTATCAGAAAGATCGCCTGGAGCCGATGGACACCATATTTGTAAAGAATGTGAGGGAAAAAGGTCCGGCCCACCAGGCGGGCTTGTGCACAGGTAAAGGGAACTAATAATGTTCAGTGTGAATGTCATGATTTGCATTGGAAATCTGTTGTGGGCAGCTTGCGTCATGTGATTCAGCAGATCCATAGTGATAGGAAAGATGCAAAGATGAGGGCCAGTCCAGAGTAAAAACGAGATGGTTGATAATCATTCTACCCTCTGGAGTTCAGACAAACCAAAGCTGTGCAAAGCACCAGCACGGCATGTTACAGCCTCAAAGTCACATGCATGCTCAAGCACATTCAAAAGCACATGCCCTGAACCCCTCGTATGTGTTTCAGCTTGTATGGTGCGACCACGAACCTAAACAAAGTTTGAACACATTATTTAACACCCAGCTTTTTAGCTCACAGCGTCATGCCTGCTTTTTATGTTGTTAGCACAACTTTTCAGACATGCTCATTAGACGGAGATTTGAAAGCTATTTTAATGAGCTATGTGTTTTATTTCTGGTAGCTACGTCTCTTTATGTTTTGGGATAAGAAAATAACATTAAATTGCACTTTATGAGGTTGAGGTACTCTGCACTGTTTGTACCTCGTTGCCATTATGATACAGATCAGAAGCTTAATGTTTTGCCTGCATGGTTTTGTTGAAATTAGACACTGTAATACAGCCGTTTGTTTTAAATAAAGGCAGTAGCTTTACCATCTACCCGACTATTTGTGTGTTCTGCAGGGGATCGGCTGGTGAAAGTGAACGGTGAAAGTATTCTTGGAAAGACTTATTCACAGGTGATCGCCCTTATTCAAAACAGGTAAGATCTCCAACCGTCAGCACAAGGAGAGGCTGTGGATGATGACTAATTGAACGTGTTTGTCTTACCTTTTGCCAGCTTTCTTTTTTGTAAATATTACATAGACCTACTCTCTTTATCGTATTAAATTACTTTTAGAAAGGTACCCTGAAGCAGTAGACACGGCACAATTGCATGTTTTACATTATCCTACATCTGCAATCCATGATGCTTTAGGGGGAAAATGTCATGGATATTTACATTAATTCATTTTGGGATTGTCTCATAAATAAAGAATGAATGACTGGATTCATGTCGCTGCCTTTCAGACCCCAGAAAATCAACAGTGTGACGTCTGAATATTTCAAACCTGCATACTAAACATTTATTTCTCACCTTCTGAAGACACTAATAACATCAGCAAGCCACATTTGGGATAATAAACTCTTATTGTACAGCAAATTCTTTAGTTTGACATTTACTTTCTTTTTAAATATGAATATTTATTGTGTGTGCAATGCATACATTCTTCTTTACCTTTAATGTTCTTAATGGGGCAACGTTTTCATTGAATTATTAAGATGTGAAATAAGTATTATTTATTGAGATTTTTAGTTTAATTCTCATTAAGCACAATCATTACGTATCTTCTGAGCTCAGTGTATTTTATACTTTTGTCAATAGTTTATCCCTTTTTTCCCCCCTCTGTGCTCACATTTTCCTTCTTCTGTACGTGTCTTTCAGTGAGAGTGTGTTGGAGCTCTCCATTATGCCCAAAGATGAAGATGTGCTTCAGCTGGTAAGAGTTAGGATGAGATTCACCACACGCTCTTTACTTCCTGACACGTGAGGCATTAGCTGCTTGAACGCGGGCCGCTGCAGGACTGTGTGTATTCTGCTTGTCTGCAGACACAGTCCAGGATTTGGTCATTCTCAAAGAATGTAGCGCCTGTCAGAATGACTGCAGAGTGACTCACGGGCTCTGGGCTCTGCGTTTAAAGTGAAGCTCCCATTGAGAGCCACTTGTATCTTGATTGTCCAGGTTTGGAAAAAAACAACCTGTGATCACGCACACATTTTTGTCGCTCCACAGGTTGCCCCATACTTGTTTGCATGATCCGACATGCATCACCCGTTACTCCTCCCACTGTAAGGGGGGGGGATATTTCCGCAAGCAAAAGCCAGAATTAAGTCATTCTCCTCACACATGCAGAAACATCAACGTTGCTCTCAAAATAAGCCAAAACGGTGCCCTGTATTTAAGTGTTCTACCGTCTCTTGACGTTAGAAACAAATTTTTCTCTGTCCTGGCACTCCTCCCCTCTCCACCGCGCCTCTGTCTGCTGAATTCCTAGCATGACATCACAAAAGCGACTCCTCCCTCCACGCTCCCACAGGGTGGAGTAAGTCAGAGAAGGAGAGAGGGAGTTTGGAAGGATCTCAGTGAGGAGAAAAGCAGTCGATCAACAGTCAGAAAAAGTCAAAGAAAAGAAGCGACTTTTGGAGCATGAGGGGGGGGGGGGATTGGAAGGACTGCAGTTTTTTAGCAGCTGGGGCGCTGCATCGGGAGAGGAGGAGTCTGTGTCCTCTGCTCCTCATTAACTGAATTTTGATCTGCTGACAAGCTCAAGGGAGGCTCTGACAATCAATTAGGTAAACCTCTTAAAATGTCTCTGATTAACTGTCCTGAAGGTTGAAAAAAACTTTTTGAGTGTTATGAATGTGACTTACTGTTGAAGTAATGTTAGTGCTCCTTGCTCTTAGGTTAGTGTGTATATTTTGACTCGGTAATGCTGGAGGCTTCTGTGTTAGCAGATGGCGGCTGTGTAATTAGCATTGAGGCTTTTTCTTCAGGCACTTGATGCGTTTTGTAGCTGACATGTGTTTGTGTCAGGAGCTGAGGCCCTGGGGACAGACTCCTGCTAAAGGGTTGAGATTCATTCACTTTAAACCTTTAAGGAATGAGGCTATTTAAAAATCATGACCATTTTGCTGTTGTACTGTTGTCAAACTTGTTTGGGGAAGGAGCATGTTTTGATTTGAATCCATCCCAGCTGGCTCATACACCTTTATTCCTTCTCCTCCATTTCCCTCCCTCCTCCAGGCGTACTCCCAGGATGCCTACCTGACAGGTAACGAGCCCTACATCGGAGGAGCGGAGAACCTCCCCCCACCACCTCCCCTCTGTTACCCACGCGCCAGGACCGCGTCCTTCGGAGGCCCCCTGTCGTCCCCCATGGGCCAGAACCAGCTGGACAACTGGAGTCGCTGGCCAGGGTCCTCCAGCCCCTCGTCACCCATGGACAACCGTTCGGCCGTGGGCAGTCCGGCCAACTGGCAGGAGGGGCGGGCGGGGGAGCCAGGTGGTGTGGGTCACAGCAGTCCGGCCCATCGCACGGAGGAGATCCAGTACGGGATGACCAGCCAGCAGCCCCAGGGTCAGACCAGAGGACGCTCCTACTCCTCTTCCTCCTCATCCGGAGGTCCTCTGTCCAGCCCGCTGCAAGTCCACTACCCCAACCACCACAGTGCCAGCCCCTCTCAGGCCCAGCCGCGCCAGTCCGGCTCGGCGTGGACCAGTCCACCCCTGCCCCAGGTCGGCCCCGCCCGCGCCGAGCGCTGCCAGCAGGCCCTCTCGGACTGGTACTACAGCCAGCTGCCCGAGCGCTCGGGCCGCAGCATGCAGACCCGCCACCGCAGCTACTCCCAAGACCGGCTCAGCGAAACCCGGAGGCAGCAGCAGCGGGCCGGCGGCTGGCCTCACAGCGCCTCCCAGGACACCCTGCTCTTACTACAGCAGGCTGGACACCACGGCGAACCCTACTGGTCCCACGGAGACTGGGACGCGGGCCCCGGCAGGGGCCACCCGGCCTCCAACTACACCCGGACGCGCTCGGAAAACCTGCTGGCCCAGTACGATCGGCACGGCCGCTCGCTGGAGATGCTGGACAGAGCGTCGGCCGGACTGGTCTCGCCTCGGTCCGAGAGGCCCTCGTGGCCTCAGCAGGCCCCCCAGCCTCCCCCGAGGCCCGACGCCTACCCGCGGCAGGGGGGCCATTTCAGCGCGATGCCAGGGGCTCCGGTCAGCAGGCACCCGCAGTCCCAGCCCCAGCACCACCCCCAAACCCTCGCCCAGTCCCACTCCCAGCCCCAGCAGGCCGTCCCCCAGAGCAGACGGCTCCCCGTTGGCCAGAGCATGGACGACCAGCCGGTGGGCTACCGCAGCTACAGCCCCTCTTTCTACCGCAAGACCGGCCGCATCATGCAGCAGGCTCATTCTTTCAGGGACCCCTCGTACTCCGGCCCCCACCTGAACTGGAACCCGGCGCCTAGGACCAGCCCCACCGAGGGAGCCTCGGTGCCCCTCAGCGCGTCCGCCGCGTCCCCGCTGACCTCCACCTCCCCCGAATCCCAGGACAGAGCGTACAGACCCACCAACCACGAGAGGGAACGAGGGGCGGCGGAGGAGCAGGCCGAGGCGGCGGCTCAGACCCAGGAGGTGGTCCTGAGGCAGAAACCTCCCACCGGCCGGAGGAACGTCCACGGCATGCGGCATCCCCACTACGCGCTGCCCGTGGACGGGCTGGAACCCTCTCTGTTTTCCCCTGACCCTAAAGACTCAGCCCTCGCCCCCGGATCCACCGGAGATGAAGCCCAGCGCAAACCAAATGGCAACCTTGCCTCCCTCTCAGCGGAGGAGGACTCTCTGGCCTCCATCCCCTTCATAGGTAAGTTCAGAGCTGTGCTTTCTACCTCGACTCCGAAATGACCTCTTGATTCCCCCCGCCTCCTCCAGAAATGGCATTTCACATTGGGTGTTTATTAAATGTTAGTGAAAGCTTAACGGGGAGGAAATGCGAGGCTATAATTTAGATGAAATTATGAGGTTTGGGGAAATGTGCATTTGCTTAATTTCCTACTAGTCTGTGTGTTCAGGCTCCAGGCACCAGTTTCCATTCTCTCAGTGAGATGATGCTGGTTTGTGTGTGTGTTTGTGTGTGAATGTTTGCGTTGGGTAATACTGGGACTTCCCACAGCCTTGCAGACGGTAGTGTGACTGAATCAGATGGGAGTTCACAGATCCTGCTGCCTTCGCTCAGCTTTTAAGGTCACCTTACCATGCTGAGGAAAGGCAGGAAATGAAGTGGGAGGCTTGACTTCCTGATTGATCTTTGATTTAGTAAGGGCCCTAGACTTGCTCGTCATAATTAATAGCTTCACATAAGTGGGAACAATTTTTTTTGCTCTTACTTTTCTGGTGTAGATGTTACCCTGGTAGCAGGCTTTGCCATTGTCCAATGCCCAGACATGACTCAAAATTTCAAGAAAAAAAGGTCTTTGCAACTAATTAGTAACGATTCGGTGTCAAAGTTTGTGTCACTCTTTGTCAGAGTGCTTGTATTAATAAGTCCTAATGTCTGCAATCGTGCTGGAGCTTGTGTTTTGCTCTCAAAATTCAGGCCGCCCTGCAGGCTTCAGATTAGTTTCCGCAATTTGATGCGGACGGCACACATTAAGTCAAACCAAAGGCAAATGAAGAGGTGAGCCTCGCCTCTGTCATCCTGAGGAAAATGGCTGCTGTTTATACCGATGCTGATTCTAATCAGCTGACTGGGAGGCATGGCAGAATGACCCTCCACAGTCCCGGCAGGCTGCTTTCTGCTCCGGAAAATAGTTCTCAGAGAGAAAATGCAGTCGCTGTCTCTGCCGCTCTGCCGGAGCACATTCTTGCCTCGTCCCTTCACCTGAATTAAACAAAACCAAGCAGTCAGAGCTGCAGGCCGGGGCATGTTTTACTCTCATAAACCGAAACTAGGCTTCTTTCTCCCCATAGACAAGTCTTAGTTTTTATCTTCTTTCCTCTTTTCTTTATCTCCTTTTCTCGCAGACACACATGTTGATATGATCCTCGTCAGTTTGAGACCTTGTTATTTCATAGGCTATTGCCATTCCTGCTGCCTTTAAAGGCGTGGATGTCTGCAAAGTAGTGAGACATGAAACATTTGGATGTGTTTGCAGGTCGTACAGTATGAAACATTTTGTTACCCTGGAGTCTTTTGTCTTGAATCTAGGTTGTAAATTATCAGGAGGTTTCTGTTAAGAAACCTGTGGGGAGCAGTAGGGGCCCATACACTCAAATCTTGTTACAGGGTTGTTATATTATCTCTCTGGTAGATGGAGGATGTGTGGAAGGGGTTTCTGTTTGTAATAGTTTCTATTACACAGATTGTGGACGCAACAATTCAGAACCGAGGTTCTAATTCCTGCTGTTCTATATGTCAGAGGTTTCTGATCCCTCTGTCTTTGTGTTTTCTCACAGGCTCCTACATTTTTCTACCATTTACTCGTGTTTTTTTAAATCTTTTATCTTAGTCCGGGCCATTTTTTGGGTCTTTATCAGATTTCTTTTTCAATGGAAATGTGTTATATTTGCCAAAGAAAACCTTAAAAAACAAAACAAGTTTTAATCCAATTTCAAGTGACATTTTTTAATATTTCTAACGCTGCGTTTGCAGGCTTGTTGATCATCTCTGTCAGATAGAAAATCAGGTAACAAACTTTTAACGTAAATGGGGAATATTAACTTTCTCCAGCTGCCAATTTATGAAAATAAGCTTAAAAGAAAACAATAATAAGCTGATTATGCTTGCAAAACAGGCAGTGTAAGAAGTAATATCCCTCAGATTCTGAGCTGCATTTTCAAGATTAAACTGTTGATTAAAATGAGTGTGAAATAATCGGCTGAACAGTTGTGGAAAATAACTGATATAAACCCAGTGATGTTTAACAGTATTTTTTCCAACATTTGCTTTGTCATTCAGATGACAAAATGTTCTCAGAGTTATTTATTTTTTCCTGAAGCATTTTATGTTGTTGTAAATTAAGTTCATTTTTGAGGATTCACTTAAGACATTGGCCTTAAAGTGGAATTGGATTCACCATCATTTGTCATACTAGTTCTAAAGCTCTTCACTCCAGACGAGTTGCATGTTTCCTAGAGTGAGAATAAAGTATCCTGCGGCGTATTGCTCCCCTCTGCTGGCCTGTCTCTGTCTTGGTGGACCGAGCTCCCTCTGTGGCCGCCCGTTAATGACGGCCTTTGTTAAACCCACAGGCCAGCTATTTCTGGGCCGTGCAGTAAACAGGCAGATTCCTTGTTCCAGAGTGGGAATGTTTTCCGCCTTATGGTGTGCTCTAAAATGCTCAAGAGTGCTGAATAGAACTAAAACAAGGTGGGACGTGGAAAGAGAGAAGTCATCATGGAGGATTACATTGCGATGGGCCAGAGTTGAGAAAAGATGGAAGAGCTTGAATGGAACGCGGTGAAATCCGATCAAACGTGAGAGGGAGGATTTCTTAAAGAGAGGCTGGAGTGCTCGGTGGCTCCCTCTTCTGTTTCCACTGTGGGACGCCTCACAGACGACCGGGATCTGACAGACTCAAATGCCACCAGCTTCCTCTGACTTTACGCAAATATGAGGCCAGTATCTCACATTTTCTGTCAGTCAGGAAGTGTGACTGTGTGTGGGCATGCGTCCATATGTCTCAGTTTCACATCCCTCCACATCAGCTGAAACCGTGAAGCGCTTGTAGTTTGTGTGACTAAAGAATCTGTTTGTGCTCTTGTGTAATTGTATGAGACGCCTCATTCATAACAGTCCCAATGTTTTTACTCATTTACTAATAATAACCAGCTTCTGCTTTTTGTACCGTAACATGCTCTCCTGTATCAGATCACAAACTAGTGTAGATTTTTAAAAAAGAACTGAAACCTTCAGGCAGTAAGTCTCAGTCGCAAACTCCACCTTTGTTAGCTCGTGAACAACTCTCTCTATGGCAACAGACGGCACAGGTACTGTATTATCTGTAAGCTATTTGCATATTCTAGCAAGAGTATTTGTGGTTTTTCTCACTTTAGTCAGGGTGCGCGTATATTTGCTCAATCTTAAGAGGGTACTGTAGGTTTTAGTTCCTTAAGCCTGTTCTGTGGATTTGCAGATCCATTCGAGCTGTGCCTCCTGTGTCCTGGAATCTTTGTGCTCAAGCGTGAGCTTGCATGTACTTGTTGATTTTGCTCCTGATGGGGAAAGAAAATGAAGTTGTGAAATGCCTCTAGTAGTTCGACATCTGATGACGACCCCGCAGTTCCTTGTGATCCCATAAAACTTATCTTGCTCTCCTGGCCTTTATCCTAAACTAACCCCTATTTTTCCCTTCTTCTTCCTCCCCTCTGACCCGTTTCTCTAACACTTAACCTCCTCCCTTT